ATTGTCAATTGCTTAGTAATATGTTAGATTATTTTATTTGTTAAACTTATTTGGTCAATTTATTTGTAAAAATTGTTAATATTACAATCACTGGTAACCTTCGATTGGCCAATTTGATTAATAAACAAATGAAGTTTATCACAAAAATAATATTTGAAATTTGCAGGGAATTTTCTCAAATGTCTGTGTGGTACTATGTTGCACGCCATGTGCCTGTATAAATGCTTCTTAATCTGAAACCTATTTACAAGCTGCAAATTCACTTAGCCTCTCGAATTCATTTTGCAGGTCTGTTTAACTCTTAGAAGTTCTGTTGGCAGGATGGTTCATAAGCAGGTCAAGAATGGTTCTTTTTTTAGAAATATGAACCTCATAGTATACGTAATCCATGAAATCAGGTAAGCTTTCAATAGATTTCTTATATTTTATTCCGTGGTAGTGTAGGTTTCAATGAAAAACATGGTCCTTTGTCTATATCAGCTTCCTTCCATCTTCACCCCCAATCAGAGTTTGGTCTGGTAGCTGCTTTTTGTTTTTTTCATAGTTTCAACGGAAATAAGTGATGGTTAAGCAACAACAATATTTGCAAATTATAAAACAAAACAAGAGAATGGAATGAAGATGAAAATGGATATTTTTTAAATTGAATCATTTGAGATTTGTCTATTATTTATTTGGGTTTTAGTTCTGATGTTTTTTTGTTTTAATGAATAGAAAATTGACTAAGTGAAAGAATAAGAGACGGAGATGAATGCAATGTTTCAAGCTTCTTTTAGTCAACATAATGTTCCAATTGGTATGAATTCAATTTTTTCCATTTCATTTTTCCAATTTGTTAATTAGGATTAGGGTATACTATAGTTGTACTTTTTTATTTATAATATTTTTTTTATATTTAATAGTATTATCTGTGGTGGGCTACACTTTATTGATATTCACTGATGTATGTATGTATTGTTTTAGGTGAAAAAACTCTAGGACTCGATTCTGAATATTTTTGGTGAAACTTCTTAAATTATGGTAATTTTGTTTGGTTTTTGGGTAACATGTGTGAGGGTGTTGTGTGTATGTATGCTTGTGGCTTTATGCGTCTATGCGTATATATATAAGACATAGAGTATATTGCTATTTTCTACATTTAGCTTAATCATGGCCTAAATGTAAGACATGACAAAGTACTTTATGTATCCGTTGGTTCTCTTTAAGAAAGATTTTGAATTTTTCAAATTTTCCAACCTAAAGTTTACCCCAAAATCATAGAAATACCTTCACTTTCTTCTTAATTGCATGATGTGTGCATCTGTACTGTCAACATGTTATTTTGATTAAATTTGTTACCATTTTTTATTATTATTGTAATATTTCTTCATTAATAGTATAGTCAGGTCCAATTTGCGATATTTTCACGAACATGAAGTAGGTTGACACACAAGTACATGCCTAAATGCTCATTTCTGTAGGATATTGTAAGAGAAATGGTTGTGGTAATTTTGTTTTTGCATGTTAATAGCATTGCACTTTGACTTTTGTTTTTTATTTTTACAGAAATAGTGAAAAAATGATTTTTTTTCCATTTAAAAAAATGTTTATTGACCTACTTTTTTTTCAAAAGAGAAAAAGCTTGTATTCTTGACCTACTTTTCTTTGCTACAAATGGAATGTGTGTGTGTGTGTTTGCATGTCATTTTCTTAGTTTAACACCAGGTTGGGAGTTTTATTCACTCCAGGGGCAAATTTGGCATTTTTATTATTTTTTGTTGGTATAGATACAGGGGTAAAAATTCGGTGTGTTTTGTAAATTTTTACAAATTAGTTGATGTATCTACAACTTTGTTGTTTTTATAAAACGAGACAGAAATGAGATTTTTCTTGACATGATTGTGATTGTACTGTTATCATTTTTCTTGACAGAAATGTGAGATTTAGTATGAAATGTTTTGAAATAAGTCATTTACTACAAGAAATTCAAAGGTTTTTTGAGTGGGTTGTGAAATGCTTTATAAAACAAAGGTTTTGAATTGCGTCAGACATTGAATTTATTTGATGTTTATACATGTAAAGGGTATTATCGTCAAATGGTCCATCTTACAAAAATACATGTCTACTTAGCGGTTCAAGCGTTGTCTTTAAAAATAAAAAAACCAAGAAGCGTGAATTATATATCATATCAAATTAAAAAATTATATGTGTTCATTATTTTTAATTACATTTGAATATCAAATGCATCGAAATTATAAAATTAGAATAGACAAATATACCCTCCTTAATATTCACTCTTTTTTGATAAAAAAAAATTATGTGCAAAGTAACTATTAACTTGATAGAATTGGTAGCATAATTTTTGAAAGTTTAAAACATCAAAGAAGTTGGAATATATAAAAATCGTAATCTATCTTCCGTTTGTCGACTGTCAATGTAATTAATTTGATTGATAAAAAAAATGATTAAATTGATGTTTCTATTTATTGGATTTACCCATTTTGGGTTAAATGTGAGAAATAATAATTTCATAGAAGTGTTACTGGTATGTGTGTGTGGCTAAACAAAATGGCTTAGATTGAGTAAATTGAGATGCATAATTTATGATAATGTTTTTTTTACTTCCATTACTGATAAACATGTGCACTTGTTGAACAAATTGTTGTTTTGTTGGGTTGGTAAAAGAAGAAATATACAATGAATATCACCAAAGGGTTTATGTCCAAAATAAAGATATAAAAGGAAAAATCTTCAAAAATGGTCCCGGTTTCCAGGAATATCAAGTTCAGTCGGTATTTTTTTTTATAATTAATAATAACACCCCACATATTTTTCCAGCAGCCACAAAGAAACTATTGGCCGCTTGTCGCTTTTCACAAAAAATTAATTGTCTCTAGAAACTAATTTATGAAAGAATCTACTCGCACCCGTCGCTTGGCGCGGGTAACGGCTAGTATATATATATATATATATATATATATATATATATATATATATATATATATATATATATATATATATATATATATATATATATATATATAAGCGCTACTATTTAGTATAATCGTATTTAAATCGTATTATTAGTTTAAAAATATTTTGGACTTTTTATCAATAAAACAAAATATCTACTCTAAAAAATAAAAATCTTTTTTTCACATGTCATACTCTCATATGTTTTTTGAAATGTCATTTTGTGTTTATTTTAAATTATATTTTTTTCACATGTCATTTTTGTTTTTGTTTTTTTTCATTTTATTAAATTCCACATGATACTTTAATATAATAATTGTAATATATATAATAATAAACATATATCAATTTAATGAATGTAACTTTTATTTTTAATTTCAATATTTCAAAATTGCATGCCAATTATTGTATTTGTTTATTTATTAAATTATTTTTTTAATTCAAGAAAGTAGTGAGCACTTCATTTTCAGTAATTTAATATTTTTCTCACTATCGTTATAAATCCAAACTTCCTAAATGTTTAAACTTTCAGATTTAATTTTTTGTAATAAACTTATATAGTATATGGTTCTCACAACTAGTAATATGAATAAAATCATTGTCATTAAGAATCTAAAAACTTTAAATATACAATTGCAGGGTAACGGATGGTATGAACACCAAAATAATATATGTTATTTAAGGGTGACCATCAAACTTCATACATACTTATAAAGCTAGCATTTTTTCTTGAAACTCCCTTTTTTAATTTCCTCAAACCACATTCATTTGAAACCCCATTTTTTAACTAATGCAACTCAAAAGTTTTCTTAATTATGATTTAACACTCAAAAGTTTTATAACTTATATTATGTTTAATTAGCATTTAGTGAAAAATTTACTATAAAAAGACCAATCTTTTGTGTCTTTTGTGTTATATAAAATCTTACATGTAAGAAGGATTTGAAGATATTGTGATTCAAAAGTTTTCATATAGTTGAATCATTCACGATCCAAATATGATGATTTGAAGAAATGAGTTATGTCGCATCGATGGTAATTGTAATATGATTTTTTCTTTCAACCAAAACAAATTAAACTTTTCTATTCTTTCTTTATATTCACTTTCTCATTTAATCTTTATATGTGATTTGTGTGTATTACTCAATCTTAAATGTGACTCTCCAAACATCAACGTTTTGCTTGGAATATCTTTCTGATTCTTCTTTTTCAAGAAAAATATTTTGATTGCAGGTTAGTGAAGAATTGTGTTAAATGAAAAAAGAAGATTCATAAAATGGATATAGGTTTTTTTGTTTGAGCAAAGTTGACGATGAAACTGAACATAAAAAGTTGACGATATAAGAATTGTCAAGTTTCTATTCTCACGCAACGCGCGGGGATTCGCCTAGTATACAATAAACGATGAAACTCAACTTGAAGAGAGCTAGTTTGAAAGAAAACAAGGAAAAGAGCCCCAAAATATTACAAACAATTATATGTGAGTTTTTTAAAGGCTCTTAGTAAAACTGAACATAAACCTTTAATAAAAGTCAAATGTTATGTTACAAAAAGTATATATATATATATATATATATATATATATATATATATATATATATATTTAGTGAGAGAGAGAGAGAGAGCTAGGTTCAAATGTTTCTAGCAACTATTGTGTGCATGAATGCACCAATAGGAAATTAGGAAAAAATAAATCATTAAATAAATCATTTAAGGGTATTATAGTAATCTTTTCATAGTTAATTATGGTAGATCAACAACAATTCCTTATATCACGCAAGAAGCAAAGATAAATATAAAACATTAGCCCTAAATCGATTTCATCGCTTCCCACCCCTGTAGATCGATTAAAAACAACATCGGAGAGGACACCTTCAAAGGACGGTAATACCATTTTTTTTCTTCTTCTCTCTTCCACAACTGCCACTTCCAGATTTGATAAAATAATCAATTGAAGATTAATTTTTTGATTGAAGATTCATATTTTCGCTCAGCCAGAAACCAAAAGACTCGGGTGAAGATCTTTTTCTCGTATTCAACAAGCAGCCATGGCGACTAAAGTTCAGAGGATCATGACTCAACTTATCGTACGTATTCTTTCCTTCTCCAAAACCAACTTAATTAACTGGCAACCCTAATTGATTTCCCGCATTTTCACTTTTAATTGAAGTTACGACTAATAGAATCTTTAACTTTTTCCTCTTATTTCCAGAACCTGATATTCAGATTCCTTCAAAGTGTAAGATCTACTCACATTTTGAATTTCATTCAATGGTGTGTTTGGACGAATTGGCTGATTTTCTGAGTTTTATGTTGTGTGTGAAACAGAAAGCGCGTATCCAGATATGGCTGTTTGAATTGGCTGATTATAATTTCGTATGCTTGGTTGTTTGATGTAGGGTTTTGATGAGTACATGAATTTGGTTCTTGAGGATGCAGAGGAAGTCAGTATAAAGAAGAAAACCAGAAAGGGTCTAGGTCAGTTAGCTTGACTATCCTTCTTTCTATCTTCCTCATCATTATCCTTCTTTCTATCTTTTCTGCCTAATAACCGATGCTTCATACATATGATGCATTCCAACTGCTCGACGAAATGCCAGTAAGAAGTTTGATCAGTCCTGTGTAAGACACATGTTGCTTTTAGGTTAAAGTATACTCAAATCCAACTTCGAAATGTCTTTTTCTCTCTCTGTAGCAACAGTAAGAGCTGCATTTTGATTGTCAATGTCAAACATGAAACTTTTCAATTAGGAAATAGTCAAATAGTGTTTGATCTATAGTTATTACCATGAAAAGAGTTACACTTTGTTTCTTGATATCTTATCTGTATAGCTCTGAAAGATCTATAACTTTTTCTTTTACATTGCATAACAGAGAATCACCATGCTACGTGTAGCAACCAAACTCACAAGAAGTGCACTATCTTTAGCTGAATATCATTCATCATTTTTCAGAAAACAGTCATTTTTCACCAATTCTGTGGGAAGAGAGTCCGAAATAAAGCATTCCATTCCAGGGGACTTTCACAAATGGGTTTCAATTCCCACCCACAACTTTTCAAGCTTTGCCTATGGCTTCACTCCATTGAAGCACAAGCGATTGGAATCCCTCATTAATGTTGAGAGAGAAAAGCTTCAAACTCCAGAGGATCTAGCTTCAATTTGGGATGATGTATGTTTCTTTCACTTGGTGATCTCTTTCAATTTGAATCCAATTAATTTTCGTGAATTATCTTTTTTCTTAATTTTAATTTCCACTTATGTGTTACTTGGATTGGTTCATATTAGAATGCAAAATCATGTTCATTCTATGAGAATATAAATATTACATAAAACATGTGTTGCCAGTAATTTTGACAGAATACATTTATACATGCTTTAGAATGTTTATACACATGGAAAAAAAGAATATGATTTAAGTGCATTCCGTTATATATTATGTTAGAATTTATTTATATATATATGCATTCTGTTAGAATGTCTTCTAAGAATGTTTTTTAACAACAAGTATTTTTGTTTAACTGGTAATACTAACGCGTAATGTATTCTGTTAGAATTTATTTATATATATATGCATTCTGTTAGAATGTCTTCTGAGAATGTTTGTTAACAACAAGTATTTTTGTTTAACTGGTAATACTAACGTAAAACTAACGAGTAATGTGTCTTATTCTTTCAGAATTGCATGGAGAATGAATTCAATATTGATCATACAAAGAGAAATATTTGGAATCGAGTTCAACAACAAGTATATATGCGAAGATCAAGTGGATTACATGGACCACTGAATTCAAGAATGAATTCAAGAATGCTATTTTTTTGAAGAATTTTATTCATTTTTGATGATATTCTGTTAGAATATGTATAAATATATTAAAATGTATAAGAATATTAGTCTGTAAGAATATGTATGAATTTGTATTTTATTTCGGATGTGTATTAAGAATAAAATCATAGACCCAACTTGGATGTATATGAATAATAATCTAGAATTCTTAAATCAGGTTAATTATCAAAAATACCTGTATTGGAAATATATTCTGCAAGAATAAATCGAAAATGTATTTACTAGTTTATGGTTGACATTCAGTCATTGTGACAGAATAAAATCAGATTTTTAAATTTGAATTAATTTAAAGATTTCAGATTTTTTAAATATAAGGGAATTAAGGATCCCTTAAAATCCGAAAATTTCTTTTTTTAAAATAGGTTAATTGACTAAAATGCCCATTTGCTGAAATTTGTGTGATTATATGATACATGCTACCCTATTATAATATCATAGACCCTCAGATCATGATTGTTGATTGTATTCATCCGGTGGTCCAGATTTATGCATTCTGGCACACAATCGTTAGTAAAACCAAAATAACCTAAGCCTATATATATATATATATATATATATATATATATATATATATATATATATATATAAAGCTTTTAGAAACAAGAAATTTTTCTCACTTTAAAATTTTGCCACAAAGCTTTATGCATTTTGGTCTTTGAAATATTTTAAATAAAATAACTATAAATTCTTAAAGAAAGACCATTTAGAAATGTTACACTTTTGGTCTTCTTTTATATATTAATACACAAACTTTAGGGAATAGTAAAGTTTTATTCTTTTGGGTTTTGACCACTATGTATATTTTTGGCCCTCCTTTTTCTTACTTTTCAGTTATGAATAAATGTTTTTTTAAATGACACTTTTGGCCCAATACTTATTATATTTTGACATATGTTGTTCTTTTTTTGATTTGTTTTTTTAAAGATTTATTCTTTTGGGTTTTACGCACAATACCTTGTAAAAGTTATACTTTTGGTCCTCTTTCTTTTGACTTTTCAATTAATAAATGTTCTTTTAAATGACACTTTTGACCCATTATACTTTGACATATTTGGATTATTTTTTGGTTTTGTTGTATTGTATATTGAATTTGTAGTGGATTTCTTTACTGTTTGCTTTTTAATCGATGAATTTAAATGGCCATATGCTTTAGTTTATTTTAAAAACAAAAGTTGAAAAAAAAAAATACGACCTAGGGCAAAGCCCGAGTTTTTTTTATGGGAGCTGATTCATACACAACAATTTTTCTCCATACACAACAATTGGTGCTTTAAATATTGTATTGTATAATTATATAATGCATAAGTTGTTGTGTATGACAAAAACTGTTGTGTACGAATCACTTCCTTTTTTTACTAGTTATTATTATTTGAGAAATAAATTCATATGATTTCAAACGCATATAAATAAAAAGAAAATTAAACTAAAGTTTTAACCCATACCAATCAAAGTAGCATTTTGATGTACGTACAAAATTTTATTATTTATTTTATAAAAATATCCATAGTAAGATTATAAAGGAAAATATTGCCAAAAATAAGAAATTATATGTACAAAGGATTGAACCAATGTTAGAAGGAAAACAGAGAGTTCGCTTACCAAACGAGCTAAGGGGTCGTTTAATAGTTGCTAATTGGGTTATAGCTAATTGGGTTAGAAGGTGACTGAGTTAACTTCTGACTGAAACTTGTTGTTTGATTTTGTGTCTAACTGACTGCATAAAATGACTATATTACCCTCAATCTTCCAAGTTACATGAATCAAAAATAAAACCGAATGCAATCTTATAACAAACAAAAAATTAAATTACACAATTGAGTTCATGCATCTATACGTTCAAGTTGATAGATTATAAATATAGTTTTACCGATTACACATTGTAGAGCTATACCCCTACAGCAAGATAAAATGCTATTATCAAGAAAACTATTAGGCATTATATATATATATATATATATATATATATATATATATAGAGAGAGAGAGAGAGAGAGAGAGCTAGGTTCAAATGTTTCTAGCAACGATTGTGTGCATGTATGCACCAATAAGAATTCAAGAAAATTTTAAATCATTAATTAAATAAATAAGGGTAGTATAGTAAATTGGTAAATCAAATTAGGAAACTAATAATTATTCTTGATTCACATCCATTATTTAAAATGACAAAGAATTATTCAACGCAAATCGTAAATCACATCTACCAATCCTCCTGCAAAAGAACACAACCGATTATTCTTCACATTCATAGGTTGCAGCTTGCCGTCTTCGAAGCACGCACAACCAATCTTCTATCCTTCTCTGTATGTGATCCTTTTCAGACATCTGGAAATTGTTATTCAAGCGTGTGATTTGTTGATTTTATTGTTGTTGTTTGTAGAGGAAGATTTAGAAAAAGAAGCGAAGATGAGTCGAGAAGGAGGTACCGAAGAAAAGGGGGGAAAGAAGAAGTCAGCGACTTTGGTGATTGATTGTGGGAAGCCTGTCGAGGATAAGATCATGGAGATAGCCTCACTCGAGAAGTTTCTTCAAGAGAGAATCAAAGTCGATGGTAAAGCTAGTAATCTCGGTGATTCAGTTACGATTTCTCGTGAGAAGAACAAGATCTCCATCACATCAGACAGCAACTTCTCCAAAAGGTACTCAACATTCCTTAAACTGGTTCAGTTAATTTTCTCCACTTTCATGATAGTTTCCTTTAAATGACTCGGGGAGGCAACAGAGCAGGACATTAAGACTTTGTAATGGTTGTTTTTAATTTAATTGACTTGGTTTTTTAGATTTTTGGGTTGTAAACAAGATTTGGTTGCGTTTGACAGGAATTGGTGGCTTATTCAAGTGCAAGGCAATTGCAAGACAATTGAGGAGTACAATATTGCTGCTTCTGTAAGCATTAGCCCTTTTCCCTTTTTGCCCTTTTCCCCTTTCTGTAAATCTAATTGTTTATTTCATGATTGTTTTTGTATGTGATTAATTTAGATGAATTTGATTAGTATGTTAGTGTGTTTCGTTGTACTTTATCTTATTGCATGTAAGGTGTTTGTGAAAATGTCTAAAAGAGAACTTGATATAATATATACAATTTGTTTGATCGGTGGGTTTGGCTGTGCATTATCTCATGATTGATTTTAGGTGAATTTGATTAGTGTGTTACCGTGTTTAGTGTGTTAGTGTGTTAGGTTGTACTTTATCTTATTACATGCTAGGTGTATTCTAGCAGAATGTATTATGCTACTTTTATTTCACTTGACAAGATATGATGTGTATATACATGCTTGAATGTGTTCAATAGGTCTTTGATGGATATAACCAAAGAACAAAACATAAACAATAGAATGAGAAAACCCAATATTCTTTTAGAATGAGGTTAGTAACACACATCAATTTGATGTATATTATTCTGACAAAATTAGATTTTAATCTCCTTATTTGTCAAGATATGAAAAGTAAAAACATCTTGTGATGTATTTTTTGTTATATAGAATAAAATAATATGATTTAAGTGTATTCTGTGACGTATTCTGTCAGAATTTTTTTGTATAAATGCATTCTGTCAGAATGTCTTTAAGAATGTTTGTTGACAAGTAACATGCTTTTAACCATTCTTCGTTTTTTTTTCTTTTTTGTATTTGTGATAGGAATGACTGGAATAACGGGTTGAAGATATGATAGGAATAACTTGAATAATGAATAAAAGATTGATCACACTCACAATTTAAGAATGTTGTTATTTTTTAAGAATTTTATTCATTTTTTTATATTCTGTTAGAATATGTATAATTATATTAAAATGTATAAGACTATTAGTCTGTTAGAATATGTAAGAATTTGAATTTAAGTTTGAATGTATAAGAATATATTAGAATGTTGTTATTCTTCAACCGGGGATTCAAAAATTATGTTATTATTCATTAATATTCTAATATAATAAAATTCTGAAAGAACATCATTCTAACAAAAAACATTCTGACGAAATAAAATCTGTTATGTTTACAAATTACATTGGAATTAAAATTGAATTAATATAAAAAATCCAGATTTTAAAATTAGGAGAATTAATTATCCCTAAAAATCTGAAAATATCCTTTTTTAAATATAGTTAATTGTCCAAAATACACTTATGCTGAAATTTGTGTGATTATATGGTACATGTTATGCCATTGTAATATCATAGACTCTCAGATCATGACCATTAATTATATTCCATCCGATGGTCCAGATCTATGCATTCTGGCACACAATAGATGTAAGAAACAAAATAACCTAGCCCTATATATATATATATATATATATATATATATATATATATATATATATATGCAACTGCTATCTATTGAAACACCATAATTCTCTTTTAGTTCTTATCACATAGCTTTGGTAGACCAGTCAAAAGAATTACATGGAAATAAAAAGGTGAACATCCTTTTTAGACAAACCCTAAGAAAGGGTATATAACCAAATATCAACTATGTACCAAAAACAAAACAACAATTTCAAAGTACTCACCATAGACAACCTATCAACTATCCCAATTTTCTCTATTAAACTTCAATCCAATCTTTTTCCCTGTATAATAGCCCAATGCGTTTTCCTTTTCCGAAATTTGCTTCAAATTCATCCTTAGTATTAAAAGTTTCACCCTTTGTTAACCATATCAAACAAGAATTAGCTTCCTTTCTTCTGTTAACACAACTCCAAATCAACACAGACTCATACCAATTACCCATCCCCATTATCTTCTTTATTCTTAAGGGTCTACCCTAAGATTCAGCTATTCCTCAATCATTCATTCGTAAGGAGTATCCTAAGGAATCGACACTAAGTCTGCATAGTCGCCAGGGTTTATCTCGTTTATTAACAATATCATTTTCGAGAGTCCACTCGTAATACCTGTCTATGGGTTTTTAGAGTACACCAGGTGAACACATCGTTCACAACACCTACAGGTTGCGAGCCTGCTAGTCTGCCACTAGACTGTCTAGAATAGTCCGTGGTTGTCATCCATACTCTGCTAGATGACGAGGCCATTGCTTGGGTCATCGTTTGGCTCATCGATTTGGCTCATCTCTTTGGCTCATCATTTTGGCTCATCGCCTAGGTCATCGCTTCGCACCATATTTTATCACTCATATATCATCGCTCATCGTTCATCTCATCTTTCATCGCTCATCATTTATCTCATCTTTCATCGCTCAACATTTATCTCACCTCTAATCTACCCATGTTTTACCCAACACATTTTGTAGATATAAAATACATATACAGTTTAGATGATTTAAAACATGTATAAAACGTTTCATCCAGCATAAACAACAAGTATTCAGACAGTATACACACATAACACGTAATTTATATAAACTACTTCATATCTATGTGTAAGATGAAAGTAACTATGCACTCACTTGAAAAGGTGGTGACTCGGAACTCGGACAGCGCTTCGTTATCTCAAAACAATTTTCCCTTGACAAAACCTAGTATCAATACCACTAGGGTTTAGTCTAACGTTAACCGAGACTAATTAATAGTCTAGCTATTATTATTATTATTATATAAGCGTTAAACAATACTATATAACTCATAATAATAGCCCAAACAATTATTATAAGGTCCTAATAACATTACTATATTAAAACATAAGCTATATTAAAGATAGGTTAGGCGTAGCGCACTTACAACAGGTTTTTCTCAAAAACCGGGCTTCGTCGGAGGAGCGTTCCCGAGCCGAAAGGATCCTTTCTCTGGACTCCGGGAGCCTCGGGGCTTCCTTCGGGTGCTAGGGAGGTTCCCTAGGCTTTTTGGGGGGTTTAGGGGCTAGAGAGAGGTTCCAGACAGAGAGAGAGAGAGAGAGAGAGAGAGAAGAGGTTGGAATGGTGTGAAGAATGAGGGAACCCGACACCTCTATTTATAGGCTGGAAAACAGCTCTACTCGTCGAGTCCATGCCACATGTCACCTTCTGGTGGCTTGCCTTGGGGAGAAAGCCTTGGCCCATAATCAGCCACGTCACCCCTTTTGCAGCAGCACCCTGCCGATTTCTAAACCCCGTAACTTTCGCATACGAGCTCTGTTTTCGACGTTCTTTTTTTCCACGCGTAGGCAAAAACAAGATCTACAACTTTCATTTAGACTCCATCGGCTAATTCTTGACCGATCTTAAATTTAATAGTAGGATGAGATTAGACTGTTAAATGACCACGAAGAATTCGTAACTCCTTCATACAGACTCCGTTTTTGTCTATCTTTTTACCGTTGAGTTCCTATTAATGAGATATTCAACTCTCATTTAGGTTGCGTAAGCCAAAAAGCGCTCGAACTAAAATTCGAGTTTCGGGTCGTGCACTGCTATGCCAAATCTTAGAAAATTCATAACTTCCTCATACGAAGTCAGATTTGGGCGTTCTTTTTATGGATGTTCTCGGTTTAACATATATTACAACTTTTATTTATATCACTAAGGCTAAAAAGTCCTCTATTGTAAATTCACTATTTACGTCTCCCGGTGCAGTGCCGGTTTTGCCGAAAAACTTCGACGGGCCATAACTTCTTCGTTATAACTCGGATTTCGGCGTTCTTTATATGTACGGAACCTTGAGACATATTCTACAACTTGGTTATGATTATTTATTCTAAATAATCTTTTTTGTCAAAAAGTCGTTTTCAACCCCTATTATCTCTAAATTGACTAGCCCGGATCTACGGGCGTTACAATTATCTCCCCCTTAGGATGATTACGTCCTGGAATCATCAACGAGACAGGGCTCACATGATGACTCCATACGTTATCTCTTCATCCTAAGTAATAACCGTAACTTTGATGTTTCTTCGAACGAGTATCTAACTCTAAGACTTCCTGCATGCAGGCGGTGCCCGATCTTGGACCCGCTCTCTATCTCATGTTAGACTTCCAATCATGATCTTCATGTCACGATCTCGATCTTTATTGGAGACTCCTTCTTTAACAAACTTGAGATAAGTTTCTTCCTTCGATTATCATAATAAACCGATGGGTCATGTTCTAATGACCTCTCATCGTATGATGCATTGCTTGGACTCAGATCTTTTAGTGTCAAATTCCAGAACAGACTATACCTTCCTTCATGTTCTAATCACATATTAAAAGGTAGCATTTCTAGCTACAAGCAACTATCGCGATACCTCTACCGATCGCTTTGATTTTATTTCAATCTTCCGGCTTAAGTCAGATGCTACATCAAACTTTGTTCTCTGAACCACGTAACATACTCATCGTAGTCGGACTCAATTCGATATGACCACTAGGGTCGGAATAACAATCATCTTGTTAGTTATTACCGAAACGATGGTAACGACATATTTGAATAAAACGGTATCAATTACTAGCTTCTTGGTAACCTTGTAACTTTCCCTGGTCCAAGTGTGAGTCCTGTGCTTCTGGTAGTATAGGCCTCTACTACCATTCACACCCTACTCATACTCGTCCCAAGTATTGTGTCGCAGTTCTCCAAGTCACCATACAAGAAAATCACATAACAACTTAACACATCAGATAGCAAAACGAAGGTTTTATATTATTCCTTGAAACGATTACATAGGTGTTCAAGTTCACCCTAGACTATGCCTCTAACAGGATACATCATACGATACTATGGCTCCTACATAACTCGATCTTCAGATATGAAGTCCTCATCCTTGATTCCTCGCGTTGTTATCTGCTTCGTCGAGGATCATGTGAAATGCCCTTGGCTTTGGCGGTGCATTTAGCCTTGCTGCTTCGTTTTTCTTTGGGCAGTCTCTAGAAATATGCCCTTCTTTGTTACATCCAAAACATACCTTCTTGTTGAATGTGCACTCGTTGGCGTAATAGCCAGACTTTCCCACACTTGAAACATATCACCTCTTCGCCACATTTTCCTAAGTGTTTCTTCTTGCGTTTATCACACCATCTTGCTTCACTTCCCCCTCCTCCAGACTTCGGGAATTTTCTCTCCTTGTTGGACCTTGAAGATTCTTCATGCTTCCTTTTCTCGCCAACTTCAGCTTTCTCCAGACCCTTCTCTCTTATCTGGGTCTCCACATTCTTAGCAGCCCAGATGGCGGCTTTCAGAGTGGTTGCTTGCTTGACCATTGGACCAAAGACCGCTGGTAATCCGTGGGCAAACTTGCTGACCT